AATCTCGTCCCACCCTCAGTGGTCTAGAGTGCTGGATGACAGGTGTGAGCCCGCGCCCGGCGGGCCGGCACCCTATGCATGTGCTATTGTATGTTTAACAACCAGGAAGCTCCTCCTGGAATACCCTTAGCGTTTCCATCCACGGTCTCGATACACGGCATGATCCAGCAAATAACAGCTCGTGATTAAACCCTGTGACGAGCTCAATCTCCAGTCCCTGTGTCCCTCCCCAGAGGTGGAGGAGTGGGTCCGAAGAGCTCCCAACCTCCTAGCAGCATGGTGGTTGGTCTTTGGTATGGCAGCCTCATCCCCTTGACACTATCTAGAAGGTTTAACTGAGTCACTCATTAGATAATCCATGCATTTTGGGAAGGGGCTCATGTGTGAGTTACAAACGAACACTCCTATCACTCAGGAAATTCCAAGGGTGTTAGGATTGAATCAAGGGCAAAGGGACCAAATATACAGCCATAGTATCACATTGTTTTCAGGGCGACAACCTCGCCAGTATTAGTTGGGCAGAGCAGTTTCATGTGTCACTTAACAGGCAGGGCGCAACTGGAAAGCGCTTCGTGATGCTGGGCTCACAGCAAGGCCTAAGCGGTGTGCCCGCCACACGCCGAGACTGCAGGACAGCGGCGTTGCTGGCGGCCGGCCCCGCACAGCCACCTCGCGCGGCCGGCCCCGCGCTTCCCGCCTCCGCCCCGCACAGCCCGCCCGCCGCCCGCACAGCCCGCCGCGCGCAGCCGCCCCGACGGCACAGCCGCCCCGCGCGGCCCGCCCCCGCCCCGCACAGCACCCCGGCGCGGGCCCGCCCCGCGCAGCCCGCCGCGCGCAGCCCGCCCCGGCGCAGCCGCCGCTCGCCAGCCCGCGCGCGCAGCCCGCCGGCGCAGCCGCCCCGGCCCGCCCCGGCCGCGCAGCCCGCCCGCGAGCCCGCCGCACAGTCCCGGCCCCGCGAGCCGCCCCCGGCCCGCCCCGCGCCATCCCGCCGGCGCGCACGCAGCGACCAGGCAGGGTGGCCCGCGTCTGGACCGCAGCAGCGCGAGGCGGCATGCGGTGCCACCCGCAGGGCTGGCCCCGCAAGGCGGGGACTCGGAGTTGCTCGGTGGGGCGGGAGTGAACGGGGAGGAGTGCGGGAGCGCGGGTGTCGCGGTGCGTTCTCCCGGAACTTCGCACACAGCCTAGGGTCCACGACTTCAGGTGAAGTACATGGCGCCCGCCGACTGGCAGAATCCCGCCTGTGGTCTGGGCCTGGTGGCACTGTAACCAGCCGAGTGGGTCGGTCCTCTGGAGCCAATAGGGCACCCGCGTGCCTCCCCACTCGCAGGGCGCGCACGGCCGGCCGGGCAGTGGCAGCCTCGCCAGTCTACAAGGACAGTGCAGGTCTCGTGCGGGGAAGCCCCTCGACCCTCGTGCCCCGCGTCCGTGGCAGTGCAGAGAACGGGATTGCGGCCAGAAAACGAACTCCCTCCCTCCTCCTGGCCAGGCCTAACCTCTAAACCCTGCAGCGAGACGTCACCGGTCGCGATTCACATTTCTCGGAGCGCAATTCGAGCTTCAGCGCGGGTGGGCCGTTCCGCCGGCCCTACAGCCCTCGCGCCGCCACCAGGCCTCTCCCCTCCGCGAGCTGGGCCTCGGGACTGGACCGCTCGGTGCGCGCTCACGCCGGACGCCTCGGCCACCCGCGCTCACGCGACACCCACGCGACGGCCTCGCCACCCGCGCGCACGCGACACCCAGGGGCGACACCTCGGCGTAGAGCGGCGCTACGCGACGCCACACGACACCATCACCAGGCCGACTGCGCACGGATCTCTCGCCTGCCCGGCGCCCATGCGACTATCCAACGGGAGCCCCTCCCAGCCCCCGTGCCCACGGGGGACAACACGAGACCCTTCACGGGCCAGCCGCCCCGCGCCGCCCTGGCCCGCCGCCCGGCCGCGCCGCCCCCGCGCCCGCCCGCGCGCGCCCCGGCGCCCACTGGGACAACACGCGACCCCTCCGACGGGGCCCAGCCCGCCCCGCCACGGGACAACCACGCCCTCACGGGGCCCAGCCCGTCCCCGCGGCTCTGACGCGCAGCTTCATCCGCAAGGGCACTGAGTCGGCCGCCCTGCGGCCTGGCGCCCGGTGGGGCGTGTTACATGGACTGCAGGGGAAATGGTCTGCCGTGTTATAAAACAGAACATTCTAAGCTACGACGTAAGTGAGAAATAACCCTGCGTTTAGTCGTTACAACGGGGAGGGTTCATTTTTATAAGCAGTATTAGCCAACCTTGATAATAATAATAGCACTATTTCTCATCTCTGTTCTCTCTTTTGGAGACAGAGTCTCTGCTTGCCCGGGGCTAGAGAGTGCCGTGGGTCCAGCCTCGGCTCCAGCAATTCAACTCCTGGGCTCAAACGATCCTCTGCCTCAGCCTCCCAGTAGCTGGGACTACCAGGCCATGTCCACCATGCCCGGCTAATTTTTCTATTTTTTGTACGGAGCGCCAGGACGGCAGGACGGCGGGCTGGCCTCCTCCCTCCGCCCGGACGTGGGCACGGAGCGCCAGGACGGCAGGACAGCGGGCTGGCCTCCTCCCTCCGCCTGGACGTGGGCACGGAGCGCCAGGACGGCAGGACAGCGGGCTGGCCTCCTCCCTCCGCCCGGACGTGGGCACGGAGCGCCAGGACGGCAGGACAGCGGGCTGGCCTCCTCCCTCCGCCCGGACGTGGGCACGGAGCGCCAGGACGGCAGGACGGCGGGCTGCTCTGCAGGTGCCGCGCGGCCTCGGGGGCAGGCAGCGGCCGGCGGGTGCGGGGCAGGAAGCCCAGCCTCGCAGCCCGCCCTCCGGAGAGCCAGCGGCAGCCCAGGACGGTCTTTAACCGCCGGCAAGTGTCAGCCAGACCAGCGCCGCGCAGATGGCACGCGCACGCAGAAGTCGAGAATGTGGCAGAGCTGACACGGCTGGTCTCTGGGGAAAGCCATGTCACTCGTGGGAAGATTCCTGGCCGCCATGAAGCCCTCCCTGATTTTCTCAGCTGAAAGGGATCTCTCTCTCTCTCTCTCTCTCTCCTGAAATCCTCCAGAGTACTTAATTTTGTACTTAGGACACTTTGAAAATTTGTTCTTGCTTTGCAGTTGACTGTGCTCATTCCTGGTGCACCCTTTTTTCATCTTTGCCTCATTTTACAAGCTTAATATTTAATATAACACACCTTTAAAAGACACCTTGGGCCCAGGCGAGGTGGCTCACGCCTGTAATTCCAGCACTCTGGGAGGCCAACTGGGAGGAGCCCTCAAGGTCAGGAGTTCAAAACCAGCCTCAGCAAGAGCGAGACCCCGTTTCTACTAAAAATAGAAAGAAAATTAATCGGAAAACTAAAAATATATAGAAAAAATTAGCCGGGCATGGTGGCGCGTGCCTGTAGTCCCAGCTACTCGGGAGGCTGAGGCAGGAGGATCGCTTGAGCCCAGGAGTCTGAGGTTGCTGTGAGCGAGGCTGACGCCACGGCACTCACTCTAGCCCGGGCAACAGAGACTCTGTCTCCAAAAAGAGAAGAACAGAGATGAGAAAAGTGGCTATTGTATTAATCAAGGTTGGCTAAACTGCTATAAAAATGAACCCTCCGTTGTAACGACTCAAACGCAGGGTTATTTCTCACTTACGTCGTACTTAGAATGTTCTGTTTTTATAACAGACGGGCAGCCATTTCCCCTGCAGTCATGTAACCGCCGCCCACCGGGCGCAGCGGCCGCGAGGGCGGCCCGACCCTAGTGCTTGCGGATGAAGCTGCGCGTCAGAGCCGCGGGGCGGGCGCGGGGCGGGCGCGGGGC